AAGCCTCCATCCCACTTCTTAGAAACACTTTGGAATTTAGCCTCACCAGCCAGTAGCTCGGGGCAGCATGAGAAACGCTGCTGTGCTAGCCCTTGCTAGAATATAGCTCTCTGACTGTGAGCTGGGAGGAGAGGGAGACCTGTGTTATTGGTTGCACCAGTCTAGAGTGGAGGTTTGGTCTCACTGATTCGGGAGGGGAAAGGGAGGAAGCAGGTCTCAGTTCAACTACTATTATCTCTCACTGTTCCTACTGAATTTTGGTAGAGTTTTTGAAAAAAATGTTTCTTCATTTGTTAAATTTCCTTAGGACCATTTCCAAAGACTTTAAATGATTGTGGGGGTTTTTTGTTTTGTTTTGTTATCATTTTAACCAGTTTTTCTGGGGATAGGGCCCATAGAGCACTTCATGCTGTCATAGTCGAAGTTCCTCTAAAACTGGTTTTTAATAAAGTGTCACCTACGCAGGGAAGGAAGTAGTAGTTTTCTGAATATAATTTTGACTTTGGAACCCATGTAAGTAATTTACATAATTTAAAACAAATTTTAAAAAGAAATACCTAAAAATGAAAAATAAATAAAAGATTCTAACTGTATATCAGGTTGGTGGCATAACAACATGGAAAAAAATAATTCTTAAGTAACCTAAAGGTAGGGCACCTGGTTCAGTTTAACCAACTGAAGGCAACTGCCTTCAGCTCAGGTCATGATCTTGGGGTCCCAGGATCAGGTCCCGCATTGGGCTCCCTGCTCAGCAGGGAGTCTGCTTCTCCCTCTGACCCTCCCCCCCTCACGCTCTCTCTCTCTCTCTCTTTCATTCTCTCTCTCAAATACATAAATAAAATCTTTAAAAAAAAAGTAACCTAAAAAGTTTTTTGACCGTACATACCTAGTGTGATATATCCAGTGGTTTGCTAGAGTTACTTTACTGGAGCTAAATTAAATTATGTTAATGTTATTAGGAACCAAGATTTTTTATATAAGTGACATCAGTATACCATTAAATAAATTAAGTAAAAACTCTATAATCTCACACTTGAGTTAAAAAAATCAGTATGAATTCATGATTTATTTCACTTTAAAAAATATATATGGGGTGCCTGGGTGGCTCAGTTGGTTAGATGTCTGCCTTCAGCTCAGGTAAAGGTTCCAGTGTCCTGGGATCAAGCCCCAAGTCAGGCTTCCTGCTCTGCGGGGGCCTGCTTCTCCCTCTCCCTGCCACTTCCCTATTGTACTCTCTCCCTCTGTGTCAAATAAATAAGTAAAATCTTAAATATATATATATATATTATATATATATTAGCTCTGTCTGCTAAAAAGGCTTAGAACAAGCCTCTAGATCTAATTCCCATGTGATAGGAAATGCAAGAGTTAGAGAAACATGTTAAATGATACCATGGAGATGCAATCAGCCCAGTTCAGAATTTGGGAAATTCTAGAGGACAAATGACCCAATTTCTTCCACAAATAAATTACAGAAAAAAGGAGAGGGAAAAGAGACTATTAAAGTTTAAAAGAGGGGCACCTGAGAGGTTCAGTTGGTTAAGCATCTGACTTTTGGTTTCAGCAGGTCATGATCTCAGGATTGTGAGGTTGAGCTGCATGTTGGGATCTGCACTCAGCACAGTCTGCGTGAGATTCTCTCCCCGTCTCTCCTCCCCCTCGGCTCCTCCCCCAACTTGTGCTCTCTCTCTCTCTAAAATATATTTTTAAAAAATCTTTTTAAAAAAGTTCAAAAGAAACTTTAGAAACTTACACTAAATGCAGTGTAAACCTTTTTTGAATATCGATTCAAACAAACCACCTACATATGAGACTCTTTGGGTATAATTAGGGAAATTGGAACACTGAACAGTTATTAGATGATATTCATAAGTAATTGGGTGTTTTAACAGATTGTCAGGTGAGACAATAACATTGTGGTTAAGTTTTCTAAAAGAGATTTTTAATGTTTTTATTGTATATTTTTATTTTCTGACTTGAACAAATGAGGCTCAAAAAGTTATGAGATGATCAGGAAAATTTAAACAATGAATGAATATTTGATGTTAAGGAATTATTGTCTTTTTACGATAATTTTATTGTTGTATTTAAAAAAGTACTTATCGGGGCGCCTGGGTGGCTCAGTCGTTAAGCGTCTGCCTTTGGTTCAGGCATGATCCCAGGGTCCTGGGATCGAGCCCCGCATCGGGCTCCCTGCTCAGTGGGGAGCCTGCTTCTCCCTCTTCCACTCCCCCTGCTTGTGTTCCCTCTCTCGCTGTGTCTCTCTCTGTCAAATAAATAAATAAAATCTTTTTAAAAAATATAAAAGCACTTATCTTGGGGCACCTGGGTGGGCTCAGTCAGTTAAGAGTCTGACTTCAGGGGTGCATGGGTGGCTCGGTCGTTAAGCATCTGCCTTCGGCTCAGGTCATGATCCCAGGGTCCTGGGATCGAGCCCCGCGTAGGGCTCCCTGCGCGGCGGGAAGCCTGCTTCTCCCTCTCCCGCTCCCCCTGCTTGTGTTCCCTCTCTCGCTGTGTCTCTCTCTGTCAAAGAAATACATAAAATCTTTTTTAAAAATAAAAAATAAAAAAGTACTTATCTTGGGGCACCTGGGTGGGCTCAGTCAGTTAAGAGTCTGACTTCAGGGGTGCATGGGTGGCTCAGTCATTAAGCATCTGCCTTCGACTCAGGTCATGATCCCAGGGCCCTGGGATCAGGCCCCACATGGGGCTCCCTGCTCTGCAGGAAGCCTCTTCTCCCTCTCCCACTCCCCCTGCTTGTATTCCCTCTCTCGCTGTGTCTCTCTCTGTCAAAAAAAAATAAATAAAATCTAAAAATAAATAAATAAATAAATAAAATCTAAAAAAAAAAAAAGAGTCTGACTTCAGCTCAGGTCATGATCTCAGGGTCCTGGGATCCAGCCCCATGTTGGCTCCCCACTCAACAGGGTGTCTTCTTCTCCTGTTCCCTCTCCCTCTGCCCCTCCCCCCACTCATGCTCTCTCTGTCTCTCAGATAAATAAATAAAATCTTTAAAGCAAAGAACAAACACCAAAAAACTTATCTTGAGGTGCCTGGGTGGCTCAGTAGGTTGGGTGATGACTCTTGATCTCAGCTCAGGTCTTGATCTCAGGGCCGTGAGTTCAAGCCCCCACTGGGCTCTATACTGGGCATGGAGCTTACTTAAATAAAAACAAACAAATAAATAAATAAATAATACTTATCTTTTATATTTATATACTAAACTGCCCACCATCATTATGTAGTGAGGAGACTTTACCAGAAAAAGGAGTCTTAAATGCTTATAGAAGTATTTATGGATAAAATGATATTGTGTCTGGAATTTGCCTTAAAATAATCCAGGTTTTTGTTGCCTTTGAAGGGGAAGGATTTGGTTGTAGGTGAAACAAGATGAACCAGATGGTACTAATGAAGGTGAGTGATCATTATACATGAAGGTTCATTAGACATTTTCTCAACTTTCATGTATGTTTAAAATTTCCCGTATAGTGAAAAGTTTTAAAAATAAACAAAAAGTTCTATCCATGATTCTCTGAAGATATAACAACCCTGAGAAGAGGAGTTGTAGGAAGCCTTGCTGGGTAGGCAGATAGCTCCAGAATGGATGAGTCTGTGGAGAGTACTGCTGTGGACAACCCCTATCCTAGCTCAGTTGTGACCAAGACCTAGATGTGGAATGACGTATGTCTCCCTGGGCGCTTCTGAGCCAAGCAAGTGTCAAGATAAATCACGTTCGAGTTCTGGTGTTTAATACTTGACCAAGCCAGACCCCACGTGACCCAATCCAATTTATCATTCCATTTGGGCAGCACCCATCCCCCAATCCAACACCCATCCAAGTCTCGATCATCCTTCCAGACCCAGACCCAGCTCAAGCCCCACTTTTTAACTAACTGCATATCCACTAATCTCCCTTTTTCCAGATTTTTATCACTCATTTTGTCTTCTCATTTGTTCCCTCATATTGTTAGTTGGTGGCTTCCCAATACATACTTTTCCAGCCTCAGGGCACGCTTCTAAAACCAGGGGCCGTATCATACTTAAAAAATTCTTTCGGCCTCAAAAATAATACGATCCACAAAGCTAGAGCTCAATTAATACTTGAATTAAGGCTTTGAAGAGGCCAAAAAGTAAAATATGTAATGGTCTATTGGGCAAAGCAAATGGGGTGGGGCAAAATGGTTCTTGATCCTTCTCTTCTGGCGGTTTCAAAGACCCCACAGGCACAGCACCTCTATTCCTGTTATGAAGCTGCTGGATACTTTGACTACCTCAAGTATGTCGAGCAAAAATCAGTGCCATTTGGCACTGCATAGGAGCTTGAAATACCCTTTTTTTTTTTTTTTAAGTTGGAATTTAAACCGAGTTTTTTGTCTTGGTGGTAATCACCACGTGTAGTTTCTGCACAAAGCAGGCCCGGGCTTTTCACTCGTGCGTCCAGCAGGCTATGCTGTGCCCAAAGAGAACATACCTGCAGTGCTTGTGTGAAAGCGGATATTCCAGCCTATCCCTAAATAAAGTGGAATAGAACGGAGACTCGGGATCTATAGTAATGCTGCTATGAACTCTGATTCAAAGGCACATCGCTTTTTCTTACAGCATCGCTGACTTAAACGTTTAGATTTAGTGATTAAGAGACAGAAAGATTCATCCCAGCGAAAGACTAGAAAATACACAAACATATGCAGGAACAAAGTATCGGGGACAACACTCTTCGAGGAGCACGCTGGAAAACATTACACGGAAAAACAAAAAGCAGAACAGTAAACGTTTCCCCTTTGGGGGCTCTGGTCCTCACAAGTGACCACTACCACCTCACCCAGAGAATTGTGCGGGCGAGTGAAGGCGGACGGGGAACCAGTGGGGACCAAGAATGCGCCTGCAGTCAGCGCCGAGCCCACCAGGCCGGCCCGGCCGGGCACCACCGAGCGCGGACCTCCGGCGCGTCCTAGAGCGGCCACAGGCGGTCACAGCCCGCGGCGCACTTCCGCCCGCGCCGGCGCCGCCCGGTGGACGGCTGGGCCTTGCTGCGGGCCTGCGCCTCCCTCGGCTCCTGCCGCGGGCCTCGGGGAGTGGGTGAGTGGGACAGGGCGCGCCAGAGAGGGGCGGGCCAGGGTCTGCGCCGCCGCCTGCTCCGCGTCCGCCGTGTAGGCCGAGCCGCGCGGGCGGGCAGGCTTCCTCCGGACCCGCGGGCCGGGCCCGGCTTGGAGGACGCAGGCCCGGGGAGCGCCGGCGAGCGAGGACGCGCCTTGTCTACCCCCGACCCCGAGGCGGGAGCCCCCAGTCGCCCCGCGCCCCTGCCGCCGCCCAGCCCTCCTTCGGGAGACAGACATTGACTTGGGGGAGAGCCTGGGCTCGCAGGTGGTCGGAGACCTGGCCTCTGGCCCTGACTCGGCCTTGGCCTCTCCATTTGTCTCTTCCTGGGCCACGGTTCTTTCATCTCTAAAATGGAGGAAGGCAGTATCCGCCCTCCCTGCACCACGGGGTGATGGCAGGGTTGGCGCTGCCTGTGTGGAAACTGGTTCTCAACCTGGCCGCCTTTAGAGTCATCTGGGAAGCCTTCCAGATGCTGAGTCCCCAGAGTCACCAGGTGATTGTGATGTGCAGCCGGGACGAGAACCACTGTCCCGGGGAGTGTCAGGTGACAGTATGTGGTCCTGTGCTCTGCTCTCGACCGGAATGTGCACTTGATCCAGGGTGGATCATAGCCATGAGAAAGCAAGCGGCTGGTTTTATGTTCAAGAATACCGGGACCAAATCTGGTCTGGTTACTTTTAATTCTTGGTGCCTCGAATGGTGCATGTCACAAAACATGAACCATTGATTAAATACATTAATTTCTGATTCCTTCCCGACCTCTTGGAAGGGTTTTGATTATTTGGCTCATTTTTAAACTTTTTATTATGGAAACTTGCAAACATAGGAGAATAAGATCAATCTTGTTTCATCTGTTAACCCTCACCTCACTGGATTATTTGAAAGCAAATCTGAATGTACCATTTTATCTGCAAAATACTTGTTTATGTTTATAAAACAGTAACTCCTTTTTAAAACAAAGCCATTATCAATTTAATAAGCATTTCATGTTATCATTTATCCAGTCAGCGTTTACGTTTCCCCAATTGTCTCCTTGTCTCCCAATTCTCTTTTTCAGTTTGTCCAAATTGAGGTCCAGACAAACTACACATGCCACGTTTGGTTCACGCCTTTTCTACTTCATTTAATCTCCTTATGGCTTCTCGATTTTTTTCCCTTGTATTTTACTTGTTAAAAAAAAACAAACTGTTCATTTGTTCTGTAAAGTTTCCTACATACTGGATTTTGCTCCTTCCACCCCTGTGGTGTCCTTTAATAAACTGGTGTTTAGGTTACAGTTTTTTTCAGATTCAGGTTCTACTTTTTGGCAAGAAAACCTCATAGGGTTATTGTGTACTTCGTACTGCAACACACCAGGAGTTAGATAAGATCTTGTTTCCTCTTTGTGGTGTTAAGATTGGTCAATGGACCTTTTCTGTACAGATTGCACTGCAGGGTAACTAATTGAGGATTTACAGAAGGATGCCAGCTAATAACTTCAGAGGCATGAGAGAATATCACCTTTTGGCAACCTCTAATGAAATAGTGAATCCTGGCAATGAACATTAGTGGCTGTTAACATCAGAAAGAGAGACAGCCAGTAGCCTGTGCTTCCTGATGGAAGTACCAAATACCACTTATCAAGTATTCTTGGATAATGGGTGCAGGATATAGACCAAACAAGATTGCCCATGAGTTGATAATTGTTGAAGCTCGGTGGTGGTTATATGGTAATGCATTACACTAATCTCTCTACTTTTGTGTTTGAAATTTTTCATAATAAAAAATTTTTTTTAAGACTGACTACTTGACTAGTGAATTCAGGTCAGCCTGATCTGTCCTTTGTAGTTCTCCATTAGCCTTTCACCAAGTGATTCTCAAACCTGACTGCACGTTAGAATCACAGGGGAAGAATTTTTTTTTTTTAATACTAAAATGCATGTCTTACTTGCAGAATTTCCTTTTTAATTGTTCTGTGATGAAGCCCAATTATTGATAAGGTTTAAAAGCTCTCCGGGTGATTCTGATATGCTCCAGGGTTCCGTACCAGTGGCCTAGATCCATTATTTGTTAAGGATTGCAAAGTGATTATATTTTATTATTCCTTCTGCATTTATTAGCTTTTAAAATGTTTAACTTTCTACATTCTATTATTCTCACCTCTGTTGCAAACTGCAATCCCAACAGGAAAGCCTCTGCAAATTAAATTACCTAATTATCAGAGGAAGGCTTGATCTTGGAAGTGAAAGTGTGGCATAACACATGGAAGGGACACTAGCAATTACCTAAATCCTGTGCATGGGTTGGAGCGATGTACCATCTGTGAGTGTGAGGTGTGTGGGGGGCGAGGGGGTGGGAGGGCTGACTGTATCTTCAAATGGTAAGAAAGATTAGGTGATACGTAGTTAAAAAAGTACGTTCAGCCTTATGACACATTTCTTTTAAATAATATTAAATAAATTAAGTATAAAATACATTTAAAATAAAGACATCAGGGCACCTGGGTGGCTCAGTCGTTAAGCGTCTGCCTTTCACTCAGGTCATGATCCCAGGGTCCTGGGATTGAGCCCCGCATCGGGCTCCCTGCTCAGCGGGAAGCCTGCTTCTCCCTCTCCCACTCCCCTTCCCTCTCTCGCTGTGTCTCTCTCTGTCAAAGAAATAAATAAAATATTTTAAAAAATAAAATAAGGGGCGCCTGGGTGGCTCAGTCGTTAAGCGTCTGCCTTGGGCTCAGGTCGTGATCCCAGGGTCCTGGGATTGAGCCCCGCATCCTGCTCTGCAGGAAGCCTGCTTCTCCCTCTCCCACTCCCGCTGCTTGTGTTCCCTCTCTCACTGTGTCTCTCTGTCAAATAAATAAATAAAATCTTAAAAAAATAAAGACGTCAAATACTGTTCATTGCAACCAAAACCAATCCGGAGATTTAAAAGGAAACCACTCCCTACCATCACCATTTTAATCACCCCTGAGATAACCAATATTAACAATATGGTGTGTATCCTTTGACGCAGATCTCTGTCTTATGTAAATGCAGAGGTTCAGGGCATTGTAAAAATGAGATCATGCCATAGCCATCTATAACTTTTCTCGTCATCCCTCCAGGACAACATTTACAGACCTGACTTAACTGCAGAATTAATAGTTCATGGAATGAATGTACAATAAAATATTCAATCATTTCCCTATTGAAATATATTCAGATTGCTTCCAAATTTTAGCCACCTTAAAAGTACCACCAGAAACATCATTGTATATAGGTCCTTTATTTCTGTAGGGTAGAGTCCAAAACATGGGGTTGCTGGGTTAAAATGTGTTGTTATTAGCAGTATCATTATTATTGGTAATATATATTGCCAGCTTACTCTCCCAAAACATAAAAGTAATATATACCTCCACCACTAGTAACAAGTGTACCTCCCCTGTGCTTCACCTATTCATCCTTCCCTCCTTCTCCCCAAACCACTGTCAACCATTGGTATTTTTACCATCTCCATAGTTTTACCTTTTCCAGAATATCAGATAGTTGAGATTCAACAATAGTTTTTAGTTGACTGGATTTTGCAGTTTTTTAACTTGTTTGTTTTTGTGTGTGTGAGCAGTCATACAAAGTTTGGTAACTTGTGGTTTTAACTCACTAAGAGTTACTGAAATCTTACTTGGTATTTCTTTGGAAAACTATTAGAGAACAAGAATTCTGTCTCCTGAATATAAGTAATATTTATAGATAATGTAAATAACAGTAAATCTCACAAGAATGTGTTTTTGGTGATTTTGAGCAGTGATGTGTAATAATCCCTGGATGATCTTTTCATTGCAGGGTGGAAGATGTCTATGGATGTGACATTTCTGGGTACGGGTGCAGCATACCCATCCCCAACCCGGGGTGCCTCTGCTCTGGTCCTTCGGTGTGAGGGCGAGTGCTGGCTCTTTGACTGTGGGGAGGGGACTCAGACACAGCTTATGAAAAGCCAGCTTAAAGCAGGTTAGTGTGCATTCGGCTATCTCATTAAGACTATTTCTTATTCATTGTCTTGGCTCTCCTAGGGCCCTTTGCTCAGAAACAGCCCTGACAGTTGTATCCCACCTCAGTGCTAGAGCCCTGGCAAGATTTGGAAGGCCCTGAGGCATCCGGCCACACCCACTGTATTTTACTTCTTTAGTTTTTGTTCTTCCTATAAAGGTTGAGAGCAAGGATTTATATAAGCTTGGGGGGTGGAGGATGGAGTGAGATACGTGAGGCATATTACATGGATACTCCAGAAGCAAAGGAGCAGCATACATACTTATTTCCACCAGGAGGTAGTTGTAAGTATCACAAGAGGATACAAAGAACAATAGATGTTCAGGAGAGTGAGATGTTCTTTTTCATTTGGGATTATCAGGGAGGTATCTCAAAGAAGGTGACCTGTGAGTTGTTGAAGGAGGAGGAGGGATTCGCTGGGCTGGGGAGAAGATAAGCATGCCAGCTAGAGGCAATGGTGTGAGCAAAGGCCCCCCAGAGTACTCCACCAGGCCAAGGAGTACAGCAGTGCAAAGCCTTGGCCCAGAGTCAGACCAGCCTGGGTTGCAGTCCCAGTTGTGTCTTGGCTTGTGGCCTTCGCGATCAACGAACTTAAGCTTTATTTTCCTCATCTTGAAAATGAAGATAAAAGCTCAACTTAGGAGAGATGTTATAAGCATTATATATAATAATCCCTTCTCTGTACGGTTGTCTCTCAGTTAAATCTTAGTTCAAATACCATCTTCTCAGAGGCTTTCCCTGAACCTCTGGGGTTAAGTAATTCCTTGTTCATCCCAGGCATTCTGCTTCTTTGTGCTATTTTTATTGATTTCCTAGCATCAGTATCTAAAATTGTTATTTAAATAGTTGTTTCTGTGTTTACTGTGTATTTCCCTGTAAGATAAAGTAAACTCGAGGATCATATATATACCTAGTAGATGCCTAATAAATACCTCTTCAGTTGATGCATGAATAAGGTGTTCAGCACTTAGTATGTGTTCCTCACTTACTAGGTCTTGATACATGATAGTTATTGAAATTATTCCTGTGATTCATCACAGTGTGTGGCGTTGATGACTAAAATAAAGTTAGTTCTAGCATCCAAGGATCTCTTATTCTAGTGGTGGAAACTGATATGTAAACAGACCTAGTGTAATGTGATAAAGAGAACAGTGGAACTGCTTTCTAAATACTTTTGGAGCACCAAGGAGGAGGACGTTAGCTGTGTGTTCAGAGAAAGCATCCCAGAAATGGTCACAGTAGAGCTAGGATCTAAGAGATGATTAGAAGTTTCTCCGGGGAGAAAAGTAGGGATGGACATTCAAGGAACAGACAATGAAGTGAGCAAGAAGTAATAGAATTTCCAGAAGACAAGTGACATGTTTAGGGAATATTGAACCATCCAAATCATTGAGTGGTGGGCCAGGATAGATGAGCGAGAAAAATGCTGGGAAAAAGTGAGGGCAGACTATGAAGTCCTCCATGGTCTACTAAGGTATTTGGACCTTTTTATTCTATTGGCAATAAGGAACCATTAAAAGTTTCTTAGCAGGGGAATGACGTGGTCTGATTTGTGTTTTAGGACAGAGTTTTTCTATGGCAAATACACTGGGAGAGACCATTTTTTTGTTTTTTGTTTTTTTGTTTTTGTGTTTTTTTTTTTAATTTATTCATTTGAGAGAGAGAGAGAATGAGCAGGGGGCAGGGCAGAGGGAGACTGAGAATCTCAGGTAGACTCCCCACGGAGTGTGGAACCCAACTTGGGGCTTAAGATCATGACCTGAGCCGAAACTAAGAGTCAGATGCTTAACCAACTGAGTTACCTAGGTGCTCCTGGGAGACACCAGTTGTTTTTGTGTGTTTTTAAGATTTTATTTATTTGAGATAGAGAGAGAGAGCACAAGCTTCAAGGAGGAGCAGAGGGAGAGGAAGAAGCAGGCTCCCTGCTGAGTGGGGAGCCCGATGCGGGGCTTGATCCCAGGACCGTGAGATCAGGACCTGAGCTGAAGGCAGATGCTTAGTGGACTGAGCCACCTAGGCGCCCTGGGAGAGACCAGTTTTAAGGCAGTTGGATTCATCTAAGAGAAGAGGGGATGAGTCTGCTGAAGCAGAAAGTAGGCATAAGGATGAAGATGAGAGACTCAATTTAAGAAATACTTATACAACTAGCAGGGGGTGGTAACTGATTGAATGTCTAGGTGAAGAAGTGAAGGACTGGAAGTTACAGTTATGGTGTCCCAGACCCAAATAGGAAGTCAAGAACAGAGCTTTGGAGGAAGGAACTAATGCATATTAGTTAGGACTCATGACCTTGAGGTGTACACAGTTCAACCTAAGACCCTGAGGTGAGGACAGATACTGTGCTTCATTTGCTTGGATCACAGAGGGATTCCTTTCATGAGAACTCTTAGGGACAAACAGGCTAGAGTGGAGGCTGTAATATTTCACATTTTAGACAGTAGGGATTGAGGTGGTGGGATGATTAAAACAGAAACAAGAAACTGTTAAGTGTGGGGATAAGTCTTTACTTGTTATTTAATACCTGTATCAGTTATCAGTGCTGCATAACAGATTATAAATTTCGTATCTTATTTACATTTATTATCTCATAGTTTCTGTGGGCCAGGATGTTTGGGCCTAGGTTGGCTGGGTTCTCTGCTTCAGGGTCTCACTGGGTTGCAATCTGTGTTTGGTGGCCAGGGCTGAGATCTCATCAGAGGCTCACATGGGGAAGAATCTGCTTCAGAGATCACTCGGGTTGTTGGCAGAATCCTTACAATTGTAGGACCAAGGCTGCCACAGCTCCTAGAGGCCTCCTCTGGTTCCTGATCATGTGGGTTTTGCTTAGTGGTAGCTTGATTCCTTACTGCCAGCCAGGGAGAAAGAAACTCAAGAGTAAGCCTGCTAGCAAGATGGAATCTTATAATGTAATCACACTGTATCCCTGTGCCATATTTGACTGGTTAGAAAAGTCACAGGTCCCACCCACACTGAAGAAGAAGGAATTGTAGAGGGACATGAACATCAAGAGGCAGGGGCTGTGAGTACCACCTCATGTCTATTTGCTATAATATTTTTCTCTAATATTTTATAGCTATTTTATATATGTTTTAAGTAAACATATTGCAAAGCTAAGCCTCACAAAGAATACATAAAATAAAGCCTAAGGGAACCTTTAGTTTACTAAATTCTTATTGGCTAAAAAAATTCCTGGCCTCAGAGAGGAGGGTAAGATGGTAATCACAGAACATTATCTATGACATTATCTAGCATTTCAAAAGTCCCCAGTCTCAAACTGGAATGGAGTAGCCTCAATTCATCTGGATTACTCTCAACCCAGTATGGACCTATCATTATTTGATTCATTGAAACCCTTTCAGCTTATACTCCTCGTGGGGTAATAATATTTTATGAGTTTTATAAGGAAGTACTTTTTATTTATCTAAACACACTTCTTTAAGCTTCCTTGGTCCTAATGTGCAAGCATCTGATTAGCAAATATGGGTTTGTCATGTCTATTTCTTCCATAATTTTAAAGAGTGAGCTTAAGCCTTTTTCTTCCCTTAAAAATGATTATTAAAAGTATTACAAAAGTGTAGTGAAATGATTATAAAAAGTATACATACAGAGCACCTGGCTGGCTCACTTGGAGGAACATATAACTCTTGATCTTGGGGTGGTGAGTTTGAGCCCCACGTTGGGTATAGAGGTTACTTAAATAAATAAATAAAAACTTAAAAAAAAGTATACATGCTCATTGTAAAAATTCAAACAAAGCAGAAACATAAGAAAAGCCTGATTTCCCCTTATAGGTAAAATTACCTTATAGGTAAAGTTTTTATAGTTGTAGATATGTTAATGGTACAGATGTATTTGTGTGTGTGTACAATTTGCATAAATGGTATCATACTAGGTGTAACCTGCTTTTTTTTTCAACTAAACAGTTATATTGCATACATTTTCCTACGGCAGTAAATGTAACTGCATCCTCACTTAGGGGATGTTTGGTATTCCACTTCTCTGTGGATGATGTAGACCCTGGAAACTTTCTTATTCCCAAGTGAAAGGGAATTCATGTACTCTGCTTTCTTCATGTGATAGCATCTCCTAACTTTGATCATTATGGTTGCCATTCCTTCTCCCTCCAAAATCAAGTTTCTTGAAAAATGAAATGTTTGTGTTCCCTGAAACTGTGGTAACTGGGAAGCAATTTTTGACTTACTTTAGTTGTCTCACTTGCTTTGGGCTCACAGATTGTCTTGGTGTTCAATGTTGGCTTTGTTGTGCACTAGATAGGGAGAGGGCCCAGCACGTCTGACTTGGCATTTGTAAGGTCAGCGTGAGGTCATGACTCAATAACCATCATAGTTCTGTCTGCAGAGGCCTCAAGTCACACTTACGGGCGCCTCAGCAGCCCGGACGGCAGGAAGGGTGGGAGAATGAAAGGGTTCCAAGAAGTCAAAAGACAGTAAAAGCAAGGCCTAAAAAGAGAAAACAAAAAGGAGCATAGTGAGGAAACTTCTAGAGTGCTTCAGGATTCTCCAGATCTCAAATCAGCCTCTGCCCAATCTGTGGTTCCCTACTCACCGGGGCCTGAGTTTGGTGTATCAACTCTGGAAGGCTTACTTGGAGAATACTTTTGCCTTGATGTCACTAGACAAATCACTTTACAATAAACTATTCCTATTCTTTTATGATAATAATAAACTGTACCTATTCTTTTATGGTATCAAATGTTTGAAATAGGTGGTCCTTGAGGCGAGGACCAGAAGCCTCAGTTATACTAAAATTGTGTTAATTGTGATTGTTACTTTTGAAATGCCTTGGTGAATCTCAGAAAAATGCTAATGTGGCATCCTGCCACATACCAACAATAAATTCAGTTTACCAATGGCTAAGTCAAGTTACAACCGAGGCCAATATGCACTGAAAAAGACATTGGGTTAGCTCACGCTGAAAGAAGGTATGGGCCCACATACCTTTATACAACACTATAGGGGGTCTGCCCTCTGATCTACATTCCAGCATCTGTTGCCCACCTCCCCTCTGGATTCTTCACCCCGTCCTCTCCCACCGCCTTCTTTCTCCCTCCTGCCTCATCGTCTTCCTTTTTCTCCTCCCCCTTCAAACTCACTCAGACAGGCAGGCTCTTTCTTGGTTAGTTAATCTCTGTCCGGTCTGGAGTCCTTAAATGGCAGTTTGGGGTTCAGGTGCTGGTCAAGTTGGAGCCAGGGGAACATTTGTTTTGCTGGAAGTATATATTCGTTATGCTCAGAGGAAGCAGTAGAGGGCATTGTAACTGTCAGATGCTTTTGACGTTTGAGGCCTATCTAGTTTCAGTGAACTATTTTAGTACACTTTCTTATTTTTCCTTTTTCTTTTCTTTTCTTTTCTTTATTTCAGCAAGAAGATACGTAGGAAAATACTCTTTTATTTTATTTTATTTTATTATGTTATGTTAATCACCATACATTACATCATTGGTTTTTGATGTAGCGTTCCATGATTCATTGTTTGTGCATAACACCCAGTGCTCCACGCAGAACGTGCCCTCTTTAATACCCATCACCAGGCTAACCCATCCCCCCACCCCCCTCCCCTCTAGAACCCTCAGTTTGTTTTTCAGAGTCCATCGTCTCTCATGGCTCGTCTCCCCCTCCGATTTCCCCCCCTTCATTTTTCCCTTCCTACTATCTTCTCTTTTTTTTAACATATAATGTATTATTTGTTTCAAAGGTACAGATCTGTGATTCAACAGTCTTGCACAATTCACAGCTCTCACCATAGCACATACCCTCCCCAGTGTCTATCACTCAGCCACCCCATCCCTCCCACCCCCCACCACTCCAGCAACCCTCAGTTTGTTTCCTGAGATTAAACATTCCTCATATCAGTGAGATCATATGATACATGTCTTTCTCTGATTGACTTATTTTGCTTAGCATAATACCCTCTAGTTCCATCCACGTTGTTGCAAATGGCAAGATCTCAGGTTTTTTGATGGCTGCATAAGATTCCATTGTATATATATACCACATCTTCTTTATCCATTCATCTGTCGATGGACATCTTGGCTCTTTGCATAGTTTGGCTATTGTGGACATTGCTGCTATAAACATTGGGGTGCACGTACTCCTTCGGATCACTACATTTGTATCTTTGGGGTAAATACCCAGTAATGTAATTGCTGGGTCATACGGTAGCTCTATTTTCAACTTTTTGAGGAACCTCCATACTGTGGAAAATATTCTTAAAACTGCAATACTATGTAATTTGAAGATCTTTTATGAAAAAAGTTCTATCATATTAAAACCATAAAGCCTGTCTTTCTTGCTTCTAGAATCATGTAGCAAAATACAAAGAAATAAGTTTATGGTGATAAATAGAACTCTAAATTCATTTTTCTGCTTTCTATGTAAGTTGTTATACATGTTTTAAGTAGCATTGTATGGGTTTTTACTTCTGGAAAAATTCCCAATTTTATTTCTCTGCCTCAATCAAAAGGGAGAATTACCAAGATCTTCATCACACATCTTCATGGAGACCATTTCTTTGGCCTTCCTGGCCTCCTCTGCACAATCAGCCTGCAGAGTGGCTCTGTGGTCACCAAACAGCCTATTGAAATCTATGGCCCTGCTGGGCTTCGAGACTTTATCTGGAGAACCATGGAACTCTCTCACACAGAGTTGGTCTTCCCCTATGTGGTCCACGAGCTGGTGCCTACAGCAGATCAGTGTCCTACAGAAGAACTAAAAGAATTTATGCACGTGAATAAAACAGACAGCCATCCCAAAGAGGGACAAGGAAGAACTATCCTTTTAGACTCAGAAGAAAACTCATACCTTCTGGTTGATGATGAACAGTTTGTTGTAAAAGCATTTCGCCTCTTTCACCGAATTCCCTCCTTTGGGTTTTCAGTTGTGGAGAAGAAACGCCCAGGTAAACTCAATGCACAGAAACTAAAAGACCTCGGTAAGTGGTGGTTTTTGTTTTGTTTTTTTTTTCCCTCCTCCTCATCAATTAAGCTGTTGTTAGCTGAGGCTGCTAGAAGTATCATAATAACCTTCCTTTCCTGTGTCCCAGGCCTAAAACTGACATTTTCTCCGCTCATTTCTCTTGCCTAAAGTTTCTTTATTAAGGGAAATATGTGGGGCCAAAAGATGCTATTCAGACCAAAACCCAAGTATATATGTGAATCCTTTTCTCTTCAGCTCCCTGGATCCATATTTTTAGCTAGCTATCTTGGTTGGCAGGGTGGTGGTGATTGTCTTAGGTCTAGGCTTTTATGTTTTCATGTCTTCCTTTTGAAGTATGTTTTCAGTGACCTCTTTGCTCTGAGAATTTTTGTCACAGTTCTTAGCCATGCGACTGCAACCAGCTACTTTCAGGGTTTTCCTTCTTTATCAACCTTGCCTACTCATTCAACCTTGATTAAGTTAATTTGGTGTTCAGAACACCACGCCTCAACTGTTTCAAACTCCTCGTGGGCGGGAGCCAGCACGCAGAGACAGACTTGGGCCCGCCCTGAGGCTTTGTGCCTCCTCCATGCCAGGCCGTTGTGCGCAAGGGGGTCTTCACCTCTCTCGGAGCAATGCCTAGGTCCCTTCTATCCCCAGCATCGCCTCCTTCCTTTTCATGGCCATGGCAGAGCCTGCAAAAGCATGATGGTGTGTTTTGTGTATTTGTTTCTTTATGCAGTCTCTTCCTTCTTCTCCGACTAAAACAAAATACTAAATAATGAAGAGAAATGACTTAGGCAAAGGTATTTTTCTTACCTAAAAGCCTGTGGAAATACAATTATATTGGGAAACTTTAAAATGACGCATGCTGGAATTAGTGAACACATTGTGTTTGTTTATAGATATTGTTCAGAGTGATGGTCACATGTTGTTCTAGATGAATATAAGGTAATTAATAAAAGGTTTACCAAACCTACAAAGATTGATTATGTATGATTGCCAGAAATGCTCCTTGCTCTTGTGATCCAAATGATCCTCTCAAACCATTTTTTTATTATGTTAGTCTGTAGGTACTTTGTTATTATTTAAATGGACTCATTAAGTTTACTCAAACATGAGCTTAAGTAAAGCAGTCTCAAAAACTGTTACTCCATTCACAGCAGAGAATCAAAGCTGGCAGCTTGACTATGAGAAGGTCTTAGTCTTAGTGGAACTTAAAAGCTTAAAGCTCGTCTGACACATGTGCTTGGGAAATGTTTTAAGTAGTAGGGCATCACTAATATCAATAGCCAACACTGAACTTTTAAAAATGTATAAATATTCCAGCTTTCCATGAGTAGTAAAATCTTTATAACTATTATGAAAAGAATTGGATGCCTTTTCCGTTTGCTGTGCTGTTAGACTCTCTTAACAAGTCATAAATTCCAGTCCCATAATGTTATGTTATCTGCCTCCATCGTTAGGTGTGCCACCAGGTCCTGCCTATGGGAAGCTGAAAAATGGAATTTCTGTTGTTCTGGAAAATGGAGTTACAATTTCTCCCCAAGATGTCTTAAAAAAGCCTATTGTTGGAAGAAAAATCTGCATTTTGGGTGACTGTTCTGGGGTTGTAGGTGATGGAGGAGTGAAGCTGTGTTTTGAAGCAGACCTGTTGATCCATGAAGCAACCCTAGATGATGGTCAGATGGACAAAGCAAAGGAGCACGGCCACAGCACACCACAGATGGCAGCTGCATTTGCCAAGCTGTGCCAAGCAAAGAGGCTAGTTCTGACTCACTTCAGTCAGAGGTACAAGCCGGTTGCCTTGGCCAGAGAAGGAGAAACAGATGGGATCGTAGAACTAAAAAAGCAAGCTGAATCGGTGTTAGATCTCCAAGAAGTGACTCTAGCAGAAGACTTTATGGTGATTGGCATTCCAATCAAGAAATGAACCCAGTGTTCCAGAATGCATCCTCACATGTCTGTGAACATGTTCCTGAACCAACAGTCAAGTTGGTTGTGGTGGTGGTGGTGGTGGTTGTGGTTGTGGTTTTGGTCTAAGATTATTTGGGTCCTAATAATCCTCAACAGGATAGAGCTGCATTGCTGGACTGACTCAGCAGTGAGAGGGAGCAAGCTTTTTGATAATAAATCATTTTAAAAAGAAAGAAAACAGCATCCTTCTTAAAGTCCAAATTTGACAAAATGATAGACTATTCAGGTATACTTTCTGTTGTGCGGCAGCTGCCTCACATATAAGGCAGCACCCCCACAAAGTCCTGGGCTTGCTTCTGCCCGTTCTATTGCTGTTGCTGGCAGGTACATAGGCTCAGCCTTCCTGGCTAAAAGTGGTGTTTTAGCAGTTTGTTGAATCTCTTCATGTTATTAACAGAATAGAGAAAAATGTAATGAGACATTATACATGCAGGATTGAAGCTAGCATATTAAATCTTGATTTGTTTGCTGGAATACTGAATGCAGGGTCAAGGTAGGTGTTTATCCTTCAATTAATGCCTTTTTGGAACTTTCTGGTTCTAAACCTGTGGGTCTCAGCTAGGGGTGATACCATTCCCATAGAAATTATGGGGATGTTTCTTGTCAAAATGACTGGGAGGGGGTGCTGGATAAGAGTACTATTAGAATTTAGTCAGTAGGGGATGCTAGATCCTACAAAGTTGGGGTCAGTCCTGTACAGTGAAAAATGATCTCACCCCAAAATGCAGATTGTAGGCCTATTGAAATACACAGCAAAGTTAAAAATTATACTCCCAATGGGAATATACTTTATCAAAATTAGTGACATGAATTGAACTGGTTAAGTCAAATTCTTTTTTTTTTTTTAAGATTTTTTTTTATTTATTTGAGACAGAATGAGAGAGAGAGAGAGCACGTGAGACGGGGGAGGGTCAGAGGGAGAAGCAGATGCGGGGCTCGAACCAGGGACTCCTGGATCATGACCTGAGCTGAAGGCAGTCACTTAACCAACTGAGCCACCCAGGCGCCCTGGTTAAGTCAAATTATTGAAACAAACATTAGAGAACTAGCTAAGTGAAGATGTTGGGATTGTAATATCATATCAAATATTTGACAGAAATGAGCCATGAACTGTAACTTATGAATCTGGAGGTAAAGAAATGATACCTATTAAACTGGGGTTTAATTTATGTGTCCCTATTAATAATTCTTTGAGCACAGTTTTCATAAGCTAGCTTTTCCTTCTGAGCTGCCTGCCACCTCCCTTCTGTCTGCCATGGGATATCTCTGACTCAAAATGGATTACATGGAAAGCTAATCTCAAGCACAGATTCATTCAAAAGGATTTCCTCATCACAGTTTGGGAAACACTTTATGTTGTGAGTCCCTCTGGAAGTGTTCTAGTGCCCATCGATATCAAAAAAATAGTACCGCTTGAATGATCACAAACCCATCTTTGGTGCCAGAAAGACATGATTTCAGAGTCCCATTCTGTACCTTGTGGTCTGGTGCAGATTACTTACTCTTTGTGAGCTTCAGCTTGCTCATTTCTAAAATGGGAAAGATAATAAGACTGTGTAGGATTGCTGTGAAGATTAAATAAGACAGTGCATAAAAGGAACACAGCACATTGCTTACAGGTGTTGAGAAGTCCTGCAGTAGAGGGGCCTGTCAACTGTTTCGAACCCGTTTCTCAGTCGTGTTTCACCACATACTATCTATTAACCTTTCAGGAACCTTGAGAGTTTTATAGTAGACATATTTAGAAATTCTATCATGGTATATACTGTTAAATTCTTTTCGGTTCTGGGGCTTCTCTCATAAAAACTTTTGCCTCCTGGATGGTTCTAGAGTCCCTAGAGTAGTGATAATCAAGATGGGTCTAGTTACTCAAGATCTCAGTCATTCTGAAGCAGTTTCCAGAATGGTCTGATTTTACCCTACTCTAGACTCTTGGACCACCAAAGTTTGACCAGCTTAAAGTGTATCTTGGTTTCTGAACTCAGTTAAAACAAGCATTTATTAGATGCCTAATGTGTGCCCAAACCTGTACATCCAGGAATGGCTGGTAGTACTACTGTATGGAGCTCTTGAGGGTAAAGACTGTATCTTAGTCGCCTCTGCATTCTTGGAATTACCCATTCATAATAAACACTCAGAAATGTTTATTGAATGAAATGAGGCCTTGATATCATGACTGCATAAACTTTAGGACCTTAAGTTTAGGACCTGAGCCTAGCCCATTTCATTACTCTATTTGTCCAAAAAATTTTGACCACCTGCTTGGTGGTGCCCTGTTCAACTGAGTACCAATTAAGTGCCAGTGCCAGTGCCAGGTTTTACTGTGTTGGGACTACGTAAGTGAATATAAGAGAAATTTTAGGCTCACTGTCTAGGTGGTAGGTACTGATAGTGAAAAACAAAAGTAAATATACAGGTCCTTCACACACTCTAATCTTCTAGCCTGGCACTCTCTTTTGCTGTTCTTGAGCATTATTTGGCAGCTGACTTGAGCTGTGCCCTAAAGTCAGGCCTTACCAATATATGGGCTAAGCCCTCAGAGACCATGGGAATGTGGGAACAAATTGATACAATGGATGAATCAAGCATAGGGTATTGATCCATGGTGAGAATTGCTTCTTGGGCTCTCTTCTGGCCTAGAATTTTGTTCTTAATGGTAGGACACATTCTAAGAATTTGTGGAGCTAGAATTAAGAATGAAGCTTATATTGGACTTCCCAGAGCCTGTAATCTGCTCATGGTTGTATGACTCTTAAGAGTGGATTAGAAAATGTATTGTGCCCTAAACTTATTTGATCACCGAATCCTCTTTTGCCAAGGGACATCCTGGAACACGGAGAAATATTACCTAATACTTCTCAAAATTATTGTATTTACATTTACCTGTACAACTTAGTGACGTAATGAATTCCATATCTATGCTTAGTATTTTCCTTATCCAAGACTGGCTTTCCAATGGTCAGGAATCTATAGGTACCTGCTTACTTTAGATTTCTAATTCTCAGAAGGTGTTTAGACTTGCCCAAATAGACCCCGGATCTGCTCTGTTTTTCTAATACCCATACTTCATTAATATACTTCTAATAAGATTTTATTATAAAAAGCAGCATACACTTGGTAGATAATCTTTTTTAAGGATTCCAGAAAGAAGATGATTACTCATAATTCTACCACCCCGAGAGCAACTACTTCTCATTCAGTGGTGTTCAAATGAAGGTGTGAGTCAGTATCAGTCAAGGTAGTACGTAGGCGGACAAGGTAGTATGTGGGTGGACAAGGGTGTGTAGGTAGGCAAAAATCCTTGGGCTGTGATTCCAAAGCCTCTAATTCAGTTGTCAGGGGCGGAACCCAAGGATCTGCATTTTTAGCAAGCCCTCTGGGTGGTTCTGAGATATATGGGTAGCAAACCACACTGGGAGAAAAAACTCTTTTTCTATGCACTGAAAAAAAATTGAGTGTGCATAGATATTTTATATATATTTAAACATACTATGTTTATGTATGTGTGTATGTTTTTACATGTAGGGTGACCTCAACTGTTCTTCTCATTTAATGTTATGAGCATCTTCCCACGATGTTAACTGTTCTTTGAAAGCATGAATTTAATGATTTTATTGTATTCCATTCTATAGATGTAACATAATTTTCCTACTTTGGGGGCATTGAGATTGTTTTCCATTATATATATAAATAATACTATCATGAATATTCTTGGGCATAAATCTCTGTATCTCTGAATATTTCCTTAGCATTGATTTATTGGACGTTCAAAACATCTGACTTGTTTTAGACTCTGCGTGGGAATCACCCACTTGTTTTCTAGCTCACACTCTGCAGCAGCATGAGAGAGGCCTATTTCGCTACTCTGTGGGTGGATGATATAGTTCATCAATTAATGACCTTTTGAACACTTCTCTTCTAAAACATTTGTCTTTTAAAGATTATTTTGGCCTCCTAGTGCAAATAGCTTTATTTTGACTTTGAACTAGCACATGTAATTCAACTGTAATTTCCTTGAATATTCTTGTGCCAACTTCAAAATTTGAACAGTTTTTACTTAATGGGGTACAAATCCTATGGCTTCAAGTATGTTTATGACTGATGTACAGGGAAGGTACTTTTGTCCTCACAAAGATATCAATTTAGAGTGAAATGTAGTGGTTCTGTCCTTATTGATTGATTTGTCAGGTAATGAATGATTCAGAGTAATTTTTCTTACATGGGAAGAATAAAAAGGAAATGCTAGTAATGCTTTGAATGTTCTCTCTTGGCAGGAGAAGAATAGAGTTTGGGCATGGTGAGACATGGGGTAAGATCAAGAAATTCTTTTCTTCCCTAGGAGAAAGTAAACAATGCTTAAAACTAGAAAACAAATAGCACTTTAAGCAAATCATGTTAAAAAGAAAAAAGAAGGGTGTAGTAAATACCAGAAGAATAGTTAAGAGTGGAGGAAGGGATCCTTAGTGGAAGGTGCAAGGGGGTATGAGGGGTATGAGGAGGGATGGTCGGAGGACTACTGTTTTTTATAAGCCTAATAGTAGTAGTTCTATTTGCTATTTTGCATGATTTGTGTGTGTATATATTCATTTAGTTTAAAATTTATATTAAAACACACGTAGATACGATCATCCTAAATAATCGTGTCAGTTGCTTATGGGTGCTCCAGCTATTTGACAGTTCCTCTCAAGCCTTTTTAACATTCCAATCTGGGGCACCTGGGCGGCTCTGTCTGCTAAGCAGCAGACTCTTGGTTTCGGCTCAGGTCATGATCTCAGGGTCCTGGGATAGAGCCCTGTGTCAGGCTCCCTGCTCAGCAGGGAATCTGCTTAAGGATGCTCTCTCTCCCTCTGCCCCTCCCACTCACACTCCCTCTCTCTCAAAAAAAAAAATCTTAAAAAAAAAAAAAAATTCCAATCCTTTCTCCATACTGCAAAGTGATTTTTTTTCAAAATGCAAATCTGAGGGCGCCTGCGTGGCTCAGTTGGTTAAGCAACTGCCTTCGGCTCGGGTCATGATCCTGGAGTCCTGGGATCGAGTCCCGCATTGGGCTCCCTGCGACCCTCTTCCCTCTCGTGCTCTCTCTCATTCTCCCTCTCTCTCTCAAATAAATAAATAAAATCTTTAAAAAAAAAAATGCAAATCTGAGCCTAACAATCCCCCTACTTAAAACTTGCCTTG